TAAAAAAGCAGTGGTACATATACACAATGAAGTACTATGCAGCTGTAAGAAAGAAAGATCTCTTGTCCTTTGAGACTACATGGAGGGACCTGGAAAGTATCATCCTAAGTGAAACAAGCCAAACAGAGAAAGACAAGTATTGTATGATCTCACTTATTTGTGGAATATAATGAACATAACAGTCTGAGGAATGGGGGTAGTCCCAGAGACGTGGAAGTGGGTTACAGACTAACAATCCCCAGAAGAGTGGGTGGTGGGGGAGAGATAAACCACAGAACTTATATGCATGTATGCATGAACAATGGACATGGACAACAAAGCTGGGGACAGGGCAGGGAGGGAGGTGGAATCAGTGGGGGGAAAAGGAGAAACATCTGTAACAAAAATTAAGTAATAAAAATAATAAAATAAAATAAAGAAGGGTGTATAAAGAATCGCGGCATGAACATGATCTACTTGAAGAAGTACATATCATTCGACACAACTAAAGCATTAACGAATTAAGAATGATAGGTCGGTGACACTATTCACCAGGACATAGGATAGATGAAGAAAATGAGTTTTCATGAGAAAATAAGTGACAAGTACAGCTGCTTTAATGGACATTATGTAGTATATGCTTGATATGTTAATATATTTCATATGAAACCTATATAAAGCAGTCAAATAAAGATGACAGGAGAGATTCAACGAAAACAATATTGAGATTCATCAGCCTAGAGATGATGATTGATGTCCTGAAGTAGATGAGATCACCCAGGGACAGGGAACAAAGAGAAGAGAAGGAAGTCAGGACCTGGATTATGGAGATTTTCAACAGTATAAACTGTAACCAGAGAAACAGGAGACAAAAAACAAATAAGGAAAGTCATGCCTCCAGTGATTAAGAATGATGGCTTTAAAAAAAAAAAAAAAAATGATGACTTAAAGTCAGATGGTCTGTGCTCCAGTCCTGACTTCACCACTTACAAAAAGTATGATTTTAGGCTTTTACTTAAGTTTTCCTCAAATGAATTACAGGAATAATAAGTATCTAACCCACAGGGCTGTTGTGAGGGTTAAATGAGACATTCCATTAAAGATGTATATAATAGGATGTAGTATGGAAGAAAAATTGGTGAATGTTAACTATTAGTGTTTTCCTTATTATTTTTAAGTACAATATAATAAGAAGAAATAGGTGTCATAGCAGAAGGCAAAAGAAGAGAGTTTCCATTTTTTTTAAAGAAGTAGGTCAATTGCCAGATGCCTGAATAATTAGTCAAGAAACAGATTAGAAAGTCCCATTGAATTTATGAACAAAGTGTACCAGTACTGTTTGAGCTGATTGTTTTTAATCATTCAGATTTTGAACTTTATCAGTTTGAAACTGAAACTGCAAATGATATTAGCACCAGTAAACATATAATGATGTCTTGTTTCTTTCTGTCCTCACAAGTCCTTTGTTCATTTCCAAAAGGCCCAAATACCCAATCCAAGAGAAACAAACTAAGCTGTGTACTGATACTACTGTGATTTATGGGAAAACTAAAATTACAACCCCTATTGTAACGTGGAGGAGTTGCTGGGCACAATTAGGTTTGACAAACTTCCTCTTGGAAAATAAGATGCAAAGCAGAGAGCTGCATGGAGAGTGTGGCCACTGTGTTCCTTGCCACAAGGGCGAGGCTTAAAGGGGACCACAGAAACTAGCTCAAATCCCTATCTGGCGTTAAGACCCCAGTTCTAAAAATATAGGGTCCACAATAAGGCTTTAACAGATTATTCATTTAACTAACATTTATTGAGCTCCAGACACTGGACTCACTACTAAAAAATAATACAAAATTGGGTTAGATACAGGTTCTTCAAGGAGCTTACAATCTGACAGACAAGATAAGACAAATACATTAGTAACAATCAAACCAGATAGAACTTGAAATGTGATGCGAAAGAAGTCAAGGTGATTTTAGAATTTTACACAGCTAGAATGGTGTTTTGGGGTGAGATGATGAACTTCCTTGAATGTGAGGCAAGGAAATTTGAACTTTATTTAATTTACAGTGAGGAGCTCTTCAAAGATTTTATGGCAGGGCCTGAGATGTACATTGACCCACAAGTACCAAGGATCTAAACCTGGAGAACAAGAAAGATCAAGACTGAATGTGCAAAGTTAGGGAGATGGGCATATAATTAATTATTAAGATCAGATAGAAGCACATAAGAATGTTGAGGTCAAGAAACAGTTGTTTATTTTTTTTGTTAGTCCTCACCTGAGGGTATTTTTTCATTGATTTTTATTTGTTTTATTTTTTATTTATTTATTTATTTTATCCTCACCCGAGGACATTTTTTTTTTTATATATATATTTTTGTTCAGATAGAGTGGTAGGGAGAGAGAGAGAGAGAAATATCAACGTGAAAGGGACACATCAAGTGGTTGCCACCCACACGACCCAACTAGGGCCAGGGACAAACTACAACCGAGATACGTGCCCTTAGCAGGAACTGAACCCGGGTCTCTCCAGACCGCAGGTCAAGGGTCTAACCGTTGAGCCAAATAGGCCAGGGCTCCATTGATTTTTAGATAGAGTGGAAAGGAGGGAGGGAGAGAGAGTCAGAGAAAAGCATCAATGTGAGGGAGACACATTGATTGGTTGCCTCCTGCACAACCCTCACAGGTGATTGAACCTGCAACCCAGGTACATGACCTTGACTGGGAATCAAAACGTCGACCCCTCAGTCTGAGGGTCAATGCTCTAACTGCTGAGCCAAACCTCCCAGAGCAAGAAATACTTAAATTACACTGCAAATATTTATATTTTCAGGGCTAAAAAGGAGTCATGATTAACACAGAAAGATATAGTCAGAATGGTAGGAGAAAAAACAGAAAAACATAATATTAAAAAAGATTTCTAGACCAACCAGTATGGCTCACTGGTTGAACATTGACCCATGCACCAAGAGGTCGCCGATTCGATTCCTGATCAGGGCACATGCTCAGGTTGTGGGCCCAAACCCCAATGCGGGGCATGCAGGAGGCGGCCAATCGATGTTCTCTCTCATTGATGTTTTTATCTCTCCCTCTCCTTTCCTCTCACACTGAAATCAATTTTAAAAAAAAGGATTTCTAGAATGAGTGTGAAAGAACTTAAGAAAATTAATATTTACTATTGTTATCTGTAATATGCTCTCCTTATAACTTCTCATTTATTCATCAAAAAAATGTCCTGGATAAACATCACTACTTCCTACAGATGTTGAAACAGAGTCTCAGTATTAAAATTCTCACTTTTGTCTCCCATTTGTTAAAAAAGCCACACAGCTAATAGGTGACAGAGTAGGGATTCTTACTGAGGTAAATCAGGCTGAGTTAACAGTGGGAAGATTTTGGGCTCAGAGACAGCAAGTCACAATTCTAGTCCAATTCTGATATGAACTTCCAGGATGACATTTGCTTAGTCATTTCACTCCTATAAATCTCAGGTTTTTCATGTTTAATGAGGGTGTTGAACTAGATCATTCATTCTATAATGTTCCTTTCAGTTCTGATATTTTATGATTCTATGCTTTTATAATGTTACAGCAATTTCTTGAGAGGATGCAGAACAGTAGATGAAAAAATGATGACTAGCATAAACAAAAATAACTGGGTCCTCTTTTAATCAGAGATTCCAGGAAAGAAGTAGATAATAAAACACAAGTTTGAGAAACTGCACTCAATAGGCATAAGAAACTGAACTTGGAGATTGGTTAGATATTGGACTGAGTTCGGAAACAGATAACTGAAGATGGCTGTTAGGAGTCTGATAAACCATGAATCCATTAGGCTAGTTTTGACATACAACTTCAAAACGAAACCTGTCATGAGAACTGTTCAATGAATTATCAGAACACTTTCTACTCTTAGCTTTTCTGTTTTCGTTAGATAATGGAAGGAAGGAAAAGACGTGAATAGGTAATTAACTTCCAAATAAATTTGTTTACAACCCAGGGTCATAGGTGGACTGTTCAGAATTCTCACAGTGCAGATCTTTGGAATTTAACACTCTATATTACAGTAATTCAAACCATGATGGCATCTTTAATGGACAGCCTGGCAGCGTGATTTGGTGAACAGAGCAATGGCTTGGAAATCAAGCTATCTCAACTCTAGTCTTCAGTCTGCTGTAAATTAGTGGTGGGACAATGATCAGGGTTATTCACGTGGGTGTGCCACAGTTTGCCAATCTGCAAAATGCTAATCTGTAAAATGCCTACTTCATAGCTAAAATCATTCATCTTATTGACAGATTCTCAAAAGATGTTTGATAAAAGTCAAGGGTTAAATCAAATGATCTGTGCAGGCTCTTCTCAAGTTTGTTTGTATTCACTGTTTCATGTGTTAATTTGAAAAAAACATATATCCTTCTTTAATGTTTTCAAAGATTTTTAAAATTACAAACTATTATTTTAAATGTAGATTGAAGAAATTATAATTTTAGAATATTGTTCAAACTACATACAAAGCACTTCTGAGGTTTTGATATACATTGAGTTCTCCTTCCTACCCTACTCACCACCAGTCACTGAAATATCTACATGGAACTAACCTTTGGTTTAAGTAGTTTACTCCTTTGGGATAAGACCCAACTGTCAAGGTTCATTATGGATCAGATTCCTATCAGGGAATTTGAAATTAGTCATAACCAACTTATCTCTGATTTTAAAACCAATCTTCTTTTCTTACATGTCAGTGAAAAAAATAAAGGAGCAATTTTTTTCTGACGTGCTTTTGTCAGCCTGTTGTTTTTGTGTTTTTTTTAATAAGCAGTTTGTAATCGTTTACTCAGCCTTACGTTAAAGTCCACAGCAGTCTGGAATTTAACCTCGGGCCAAGGTTCTTCCCTGTTGCAGAGATACTACAAAACTAACTGAAATGAAAAATAAATAAATAAATAAAAATGCTCCTTTGAAGCTCCCTTAACCTGGTCTTTGATATTTGGAGTAGTTGTCTCTTCGGTAGCAGCTTCGGTGCAGATACTTCAAACAAAATTATGGAACTTCACAGTCAGGATTTAAAGACAACACTGACATTATCTTTAGGAAGATTTCACATTTCTGAAGATTGTGGTTTTCTTCTTCCAAATCCTCTGGTAAGCATACCTTTGATCAAGTCAGAATAGATTTATTGATAGGCTGGTTTATTGGCTTGTTTGTTTGATTCACATAGTCATTAAGAGAGAGATAACACAAATACCAAGCTGTTGACCTGTGGAAAAGGTTACTAATAACGCAAAGCATGATTACCAATGAAAGAAAAGTGATAGTTACAGCAGAGGATAGTCCAAATGGAATGTTGGAATGTTTTAATGCCAGTTTGGTGTGTGTTTTTTTTGGTGGGGGGGGGGGGGTTGTTTTTTGGCAACAGATTGTCCATTAAATAAACTTATGAGAAAATCTAGTAGTTACAAAAAAAAAGAACAACAACAACAAAAACTCTTGGGTAGAAATCAACTACATGGGCAAACCAGTTTATCTTGACTTGTTAGTGGGACAGAAAAGAGAACACAAAGGATCTTGAGCGCTTTCAGGGCTGGTGGAAGGGATAAGATATTTACAGAAAAGAAGGAACTGTTCAGGAAGAACAGTACCTATTTCTTAATTCTGCTTAAGGTACAACCAGTAATGTAATTCTATTTCATCAGTTAACCCTTGTCAGCACTGCTTCTCCTTTGAATGTGGTTCTGAAACCTATAATGCTAAAACAAGAATTCATGGAATTCACAACCCCTACCTTTTATATTTGGGCTAGCTGAGCCCAAAAGTCATATTAGTGACAAAAACCATATTACTGACAAAAGCAGAACTAGCACTCAGGACTCTTGACATTTATTTTCCTTCTATATCATAAATAAGGGACAAGGCCACCCAGTTAAAATCTAGGGGTCTAATGTTACTATCATTGTAATAACTTATTAGATCCACATTTTTCCTCCTACAGGCCTAAATTGCCATTTAACTATGGTTAAAGAATGGTCTGTAATTTAATGAGTTTTTACTGAACCTCTGAGTGAAGATAGGATCAATTCATAGTCCTAAAAGCTCTGCTGTAGAGTTGTTTGTTGTGAGACGACGTTACAAATATGTGAGTAACTTAAGCATTAAAAGTGATAACTGCAGGACATTATGCAAGGTAGGATTGTAGCCCTGGGTACTGGACTATGTTCTCTGACACTACCACGAGGGTCACCAAGAGTCTTCATTTGTCAGGAACTGAAGGAACTTTCATGCTAAACCGGGGAAGTGCTGGGCAAACCAGAATGCATCAGTTGCCCTAACTTGCTCTTACAAACTCTTGGCCCCTTCAGTGAATCGTAAGTATTGCCTGACCTTCAGTTTTTACATCTACTGGATGAAGATTTCGTGCTGCCGAACCCACTGGATTGCTATGGAGCATGAAAGCATTTTGATAAATGCCGTGTAAGGACTAAGAAGACAGTTCTCCTGACCCTCAGTTCGCTTCATTAGAAATTCCATTCTCTCTGTGTTACTTAACTCAGAAATATTCTCATCATCCGTAGCTCACAAGGAGGAAAAAGCTCAGAGAGCAACAAGCTCTTATTGGGATTAAATATGTTCACTGAGCTGAGGAACAATATTATAAAGTATATAAACATTGGATAGGACCATAAATATTGAGTTTTCCTGTTTGTTGTTGCTGCTTTTTATAAATTAATAAATAATGAGAAATAATAGCAAAATCAAGTGTTTACAATGTCCTGAGTCAGACCATATTTGTCCTGTGATTTAGTTGATGGATAGCCCTAAGGAGAAATTTTCATTCCTGAGCTCGTGTTTAAAAAATTCCCTGGCACACTGAGTCCACTTTATTACAGTCATAGGCCAGATATCTAAACATGTGGTTGTTTTAGTTTTAGTTTCTCTCACTTGTGTTTAAACATCTCCCTTTCTGGGAAGAGGTGGGGGAAGCAAGAATCTGCTCCGGGCTGCCCCACTGAGCAGGAGAGACTGTCCTCTCCTTCACCAGGCAGCAGCAGCATTGGTGCAGCTGACCAGAAAGGGAAACATTTGACAGTGACTTTGCTCAGGGCATGACTAAGCTTTGCTTTCCTTTCCGTTAAAGCAAGTGATGTGAGGGCCGTTCCTCTCTGTCAACTGGTTCTTCTAAGTCAAGTAGTTGGTTACCGTAAATATTTACTTCAAGTCTCTCTGGAAAAAACAGTCACGCTAATGAATAAGCAAATATTCTGTCTTTGTGGAGAAGAAACTGATGGTTTCAAAGGCCTTACTCCACTGTTACTATATCTCAAACATGTCTGGGATCCGATGTTTCAATTTGGAAAATGTCTGTCTCAGACTCATGTTCATAAATATGATACATGAACTTTTGCCAGATCATGTTGTGTGTGTGTGTGTGTGTGTGTGTGTGTGTGTGTGTGTGTTTTGGGGGGGGGTAATTTTTTTTTAGACATGAAGAATCTGAGGCAATTAGCTCAGCAACAAAGGAGAGGCCAAGTTGTTTATAACATTAGATTAGATAAAATTATATTGAAGTAGAACTGAAAGACCTTGAAAATTAGCCTCAGAAATTTAAATTTTATACACCTGGCAAATGACATGATGCAACTGGCATTTAAATATTTTCCCTAGCATAACGTTAAATGGAGGGTGGGTTAGAGCTGTAGTTCCTGGACTGCATACCACAATTGGTTGGAGAGCTTTAAAAAATATTGATGCCCACCCTGGCTGAATAGTTCAGTTGGTTAGAGTGCCTGATAAAGCCAATGTTACAGTTCAATCCCCAGTCAGGGCACATATAAGAATCAACCAATGAATGCATAAACAAGTGGAACAAATCAATGTTTCTTTCTCTCTTTCTCTTTCTCTCTTCCTGTTCTCCCCTCTCTCTCTTTAAAATCGATTAATAAACAAAAATTTAATAAAAAATAAAAAAAAGGACTGGTGTCAGAGTCCCAGGCAGAACAGTTAATTCAGAATGTCTAGCTTAAGTGGTTCAGTTTTGGAAGAGCATACACAAAGAGGACAGTGCAGGTCCAAATGAGAAATGAGAGCTCCATCTGAAAGGCTGGGTATGGAAATAACGGCTCCATGGTTATGAGAAACACTGAGGTCTTGAAAGTAGTTTAAATACAAAAACAAAGGGAAAGAGGACTTTTCCATGTGCCATGGAGCAGAGGCAAAGGATCAGTGCAAACAGTAATGGGGATGTGGTTATTCTTCAGTGATTAAGCAAAAGCAACAGTTTCGGAAAAATAAATACATATCTACTCTCCTGTATAAATTCAAAACACTTCATAGAAGCAGTAGACTCCAGCTGCATAGAAGGAAGGGTAGCAAAACAATTGCCACAAGAGGTTATAGTTTCCAAATAGAAGGTAGAGGTAGGAAGAATTCAGGTATTTCCCTGAAAAACTGTCACCTCTGCTAGGATCTGGGGCCTGCCTGTTCATGTTGAATAGGAATTTAAGGCAATGGTGGTAATATATTAGAGGTAGAAACAAAAAGATTAGACTTCATAACAGTTGATGTTTATTGATAAAGAAAAATTTGTTTGGGGTGAAGGAGTTTATATGGGGTATGGATTTCTGTGCCAAAATTTAAGAACCAAGAAAGGTGAGTAGAGCCAATGGGGTAACAGACAGAAATAAGGAGAAGTGGGAGGAAGGGCAGCCAAGATACTTCTCTGGAAACTATAATTTTAATAGATCGCTGAGGGAGGAACACCTTGAGGCCAAAGTGATGCAAGAACAGAACTTTATTTACAGAATCTGCAAAGCAGATAGGGTCAGCCCTGAACCACAAAGCGGGATTTGCTTACATAGGGTAGATGTTGACAGCCTCTAGGCCCAGGGTCTATCAAACGCATCCAGCCCTTGCAACACCAGCACCTGCCTGTGTAGGATGTGTCCACCGGGCTCATCAGTGCCTGGTACAGAAAACGCATTCCAGCTAAGGAGAAGAAACCCTTGAAACCTGTTTCAGAAATAGGGGAGGAAACCTTGAAACCTGCAGCAGTCTTTCCTCTGTCCTGACCTTGCAGAGGTAACTAGGAGCTTTCTCACCCATAACATCTAAGCTGTAGGAAACTTGGAACCACATAGGGAGAGGTAAGCTGACAGACCCTATAAGCAAAAAGGATGAAAGTATTAGAGGAAAATATGTATCGGCTGTTTTCAGTCCACACAAGGTTCAGGAAGTGTATTTGTTTCCTCAGGCTTTTCTAAGAAACTACCACAATTTTGGTGGCCTGAAACCATGGAATTTTGTTCTCTCAGAGTTCTGGAGATCAGAGGTCTGAAATTAGGCTGTCCACAGACCCATTCTCCTCCAAAGGTTCTTGGGGAGAAGACTTACCACCTCTTCTATCTTCCCATGGCTCTTGTGCTAGGTTGCCTCCACCCTCTGTGTCCATCTTCACGTGGTCTTCTCTGTGGCCATCTTCCATCCTTTTATGCCTTCTCTTACAAAGACACTGGTCATTGGATCCACTCTGACACAAGATGATCTCATCTTGTGATCGATCATTAACTAAATTACATCAGTGAAGACCCTTTTTCCAAATAAGGTTACATTCAGTTTCCAAGTGGACATATCTTTGATGGGGCACCATTCAACCCACCACAGGAAGTGAGGTAAAAAGATAAAGAGTTAGAAGGAGGGAGTGAGCTGGGCAATGAGAAGTAAACCATTGTTGTGTGCTGAAATTCCCAAAGCTGACCACACAGACATGGGAGGGTGAAAGATGATGAAAGGGGAGGATGTAAAATATAACACAGTCAGGGAGAAGTGACACACTTCAATAACATTGACTGCTATGGTCAGTACACTGTTAACCCATATTCACCAGTATGACCTTGATATGCTGGAGAAAATTTACATCCTATGCTGTAAAAGTACAGCTTTAAGGTCAGAGGAAAGCTAGAATATAAGACACAGTGTGGGCAAGGGGTAAGCAACTAAGGTAACCCACTTGAGCTCAGGTGCAGCCTTGTCTTCACATGTGACCACAGTAATTATGTGACCACGGCTAAGTGGGAATGGAGGCTTGTGTCCTGCATAAATGTAAACAGATGAACTAGAATCATGTTTCTGAAACTGTGGCCTGTGGAGT